CTGCATAGTATACCATAAAAGCTTTATTGCGAGGACGAAATAACCTTTAAAAAAATGGGGAAAGAAAAATTAGAGTCAAAGAATTTAGGTCATCCAGACATCAGAATGATGCAAGTAATAGAATAGTCATACCCTGCAATACAAGTTGAGGATTTGAACGTCTCTCGCCATTTCTTTTTCTATAACCTTCTAAATATTGGGTATTTAACATGGGATAAGGTGGCTTTTATGGTCTTTCGCATATTCCGTGTGTTTTCTTAATGTAAAATCTCAACACTAACAACATGGGAGAGAGCATGTTGAGTAAAGGAAGGATGATTTGGAAAGAAGGAAAGGAGGAGAATTAAAAGGGGAGAACATGGACACAAGGTGGAGGATTCACCAAAATGAGAGCATGGCGCTTGAAAGGTAGCATTTTGTGAGTGATGAGTAGAGTTAGTAATGGAAAAGATAAAAAGAAAAAGAACAGAGATGCAAAATAGAGAGTGATGAAGCTGGAATTAAATTTGTGTTTATCATCTGACGCAATACCCTTCATTATTCTCAACTGTCTCAGTTACTTTTGCATTTATGTGTTTTTAATGGTCTTTCAAACTAGTATAGTCCTCCTTTTTTCAATGCTCGAACCACCCATCCCCCTCTTCATTTACCCAACTATACTTCTCTCCTCTTTTTTTTTGCCCTAAACACAAGCTTTTTAAGTTTGGCCTATGGTTATATTATACGTGAATCTGTGTCATTAGAGATGTATGTTATTATTGATTACCATGTTAAGATGGCATGTTTAGGTGAAGGCGCATCTTGGGTTTACTTCTATCTCTGGTCATGGATGATTTCAACTTTACAGCAATATTGGAAGAAGATCGTTTGAGGGTTCTTTATATAGTGGAACTCAATTGTGTAACTGGGGAAAGAAAGATTTACCATCTCATAGATAATTAGTCACTTCCCAATAGCATGCCTTAAACAGAGTGTTTTGGGATTGTGAGTTTTAGGAGAATTCTTTGAGGTTTTCCTAATTACGGTTTACGCCTGCTCTGCTTCTCTATCCTTTTGGAATCAGCTTGTCATTCTTCCGTAGGTGATTTGGTGAACAGGGGCTATTGAGCATATGGTTCGGCTCCTTGGAGTCAAATAGCTCTAAATTCCTTGGGCACGGCATGGGCGTATAATCATGGCTATGTGGGACCCGAATCATATCCCATGTCATCTTTTGAAAACTACTTTCAAGTACTGAAAATCTGCACCAGTGACCGAGTTACCTCTGTTTTGTGTCCCAAGTAAATCCACTGATTATGCACTTTCACATAATTTAGTGGGAACTGAATGAGTAGGAATTGATGATGAGGCTTGCTGTGTTTGGATACAGAGTATTAATATAAATTATAAAGCCCGGAAAAACAATGGATGAAAGGAAATCATGGAATACCAAACATTTCATAGGAAGATTTGGGCAGCAGCTGCTGTTAACTAGTTTATACTCTTCTGCCAAAGATGTGAAACCAGAAAGAAACAGAGACACCAATCTGTGCCCATATGGTCCCTATTCTATGTTCAACGATTAAAACAGTTTGAAACAAGAAGAGCAGCAGCGCTATCGGCACTCCACTTCTTTTGTTCTTCATATTTAGCTCTTGTAACATGCAATCAAGCAGCTAAAAAGTGGAGCGGAAGTAGCACTACCTGAGATAGAAGATTAACGAGAGAGAGAGAGAGCGGGGCTGTAGGATTCCTAATTTAATAGCATCAGAATTAGCTAAAAAGGGAGCTTGAGAGCACTACTCTAGCTCCTCCTTGTCTTCAAAGTGGTGGTGGTGGTGGTGTTATCATGGAGGAAATCAAGCAGCACTGAACTCTTGCATTTGGGGCATTTAGGGTCATTTTCAGAGAGCATCACATACATGAGGCACCTCGGGCATCCCACAAGCACCATGGATGTAGCTTCAGGGCTGCTAGAGTCATCGTGGCTCCTCTCTGACGACACACATGAGCTTGGTGGGGATGTTGGTGACACTGTTGCCGATCGGCCTGGGGACTCCACTCTTGGGTTCACCCTTGGTGGTGAGAGGTTCAGCTTCAGGTCAAGCTTTGGAAGGCTACCATTTCTTCGACTCATCTTTGGCGTATAATTTGTTTTTGTAGTGTATCACCCCTGTCGGAGACAAAACAGAAACAAAGAGATTAATTAAAAAGCAGGAGCGAGTTTTGTAAGAGCCCAACAGGAGTTCTGCCTTCATAGAAAGACCGCAAAAAGCAAGTTATGGCTTGTCCAAAGGAGTCACATATATTTATAGAAATTACCTTAACGTCAAGGAACTTCTGCCAGCACGAGGGTAGAGCAGAGGGCTCTTCTAATTGAATACGTGGAGAGGAGAGGTTAGGCTTGAATCAAGACTAGCACGATCAACATGAACCCGGCGCCGGTGCTGGTGGTTCTGGACATCTGAGGCCATTATATATAAGGAGATGAAGGGAGAGAGAGGTGGGGTTAATTTAAAATCTTTGTACTTAATTATGGGGGGGGGAGAGAGAGAGAGAGAGAATTGAATTGAAGAAGCCCAACAGGAGTTCTGCCTAAGGCCTCAAAAAGCAAGTTATGGCTTGTCCAAAGGAGTCACATATATTTATAGAAATTACCTTAACGTCAAGGAACTTCTGCCAGCACGAGGGTAGAGCAGAGGGCTCTTCTAATTGAATACGTGGAGAGGAGAGGTTAGGCTTGAATCAAGACTAGCACGATCAACATGAACCCGGCGCCGGTGCTGGTGGTTCTGGACATCTGAGGCCATTATATATAAGGAGATGAAGGGAGAGAGAGGTGGGGTTAATTTAAAATCTTTGTACTTAATTATGGGGGAGAGAGAGAGAGAGAGAGAGAGAGAGAATTGAATTGAAGTATTGGTAGAAGAAGAGTGTAAATTGAGGCCAGGAAATGTATTAATGAATGGAAAAAATCCCAAGGAGCATGCACAAGTAGAAAAAATAAGAGTAGATAAAGCAATTACAAAGAGCAGCATTCATTGCTTTAATTAGAGGAGGGGTCGGTGTTTTAAAGCGTGTGTGAGAGAGAGCAAGAAGACCACAGGGAGATCCCAAGGGCTAATTTTTCAAGAAAAAAGCCATCACCACCTAAGAATTTAATAGAAAACACCAAGAAATTAAATGTCAACCAAATAAAAGGAAAAATATTTAAATGCCCAACAGTGCACTATAAATTTAAAGCAAAGAAAAGAAATGGCAGCTCCCAGAGAAGAAGACAAATACACCATCTCCATCTCCATCCAGACGTGACCTGCTTTCAGTTTGGAAGTCTTGATAAATATCAGAAACATCCTCCTAGTTTACTGTATTTCTTCTATTTCCCTCAAATAATCTCTACCATTCCATTTCGTCACTGATCTTCTACGTTATTCATCTGGGCGGTTCCAAATGATTCATCATATATATCACATGCAAGGAAGAAAGATTATCAATTCTTGCCATGCATGTGATACATACATACATAATTAAATACATACACTTATGAATATATTATAATCCAGTCTTACTCGTTGATTTGGATGTAAATCATTGAATTAAAAAAACGTACAGTAAATTAATTTATTCCATTAGAATTATATATATGATCCCTTGCTACGCCCCTTCCTTCCTCGGTCAAGGTAGAAAGGGACATATAGTATATTCATTTCATTACGTTTCATAATATATGGTTGTGCTTTAGGTCTGAAATCAGAATTATTATGAGCTCCATGTGACTCGTTTCGTTTGATAAACACTAGCGTGGAGACGGGGTGGGGTGGATTGTACATAAGTGTTTTTTTTTTTTTTTTTTAATTTTTTTAATTTTTTAACATTTTGATATATTAATATAAAAATCAAATTGTTTAAAAAATAAAAAAAGATATTATCATACAAGATAGTCTCAAAGCGAGCTTGAGGTCATCGCCATAAATTTTAGCTAGGCAGAACAGGAGCCATAATAAAAACAATAATAATAATATAAAAAAAAAGTCATCACAAACCTAAACAACATGGGGGGAGAGGTACATTTTCCACGGACGGATCGAATCTTTGAATCCAGGTGGCAAAAGCTCGTTGACCCAGCTTTTAGGGCTTTCCATTTGTAGACTGCCCCTTTGGGGCTTTTGACTAATCAGATCAACAAATCTTGACGTGAGGATATATTAGATTCATTAACCTCTCGCATCCCCGGTACCCACAAATTAATATAAATAAATAAATAAACGTTGGAAGCACCTGAGCCTATAGTATATATATGATCTGCTAATAATTCACTCTCTCTCCCCATATATATATATATATATCATTAATTGTAAATGCATTATATAAATTCAAAAGCTGATAAATGATAATTGAAAATAAAAGCTTTTTTAAAAACGTAATGGATGTTGTATCGATAATATACGTACCTTATTATGTTCAATATGCCTGATGAGGATAATATACCTATGTCAGGTAAATAAAAATATTTTTTTATTGGAGAGATAAAAATGAAACATGAAAATAAATGTGTAACCGAGATAATTTTAAATAAATTTATATATTTTTAAAATAGAAAATAAAAAAAAAATTAAAATTTTATTTTATTTTATTTTTTATCCGGATATTCTCGTATATTTTAAAAGACGAGACCAGTCCCGTTCATTTTTAAAAATATTTTTTATTTTATTTTTTTATCTGGATATTCTCATATATTTTAAAAGACGAGACCAGTCCCGTTTAGGGTTTATAATACCCCTTTTAATAAGTGTATTTTTAAAAAATCAAATTTTTATTTTTATTTTATAGAAATATAATAATATCTTTATTTCATTGATATTATAGGGAAAGGCTAGATTCCATTACCAGGTATTTTAAAAAAGCAAGGCATATGGGCTTTCGGTTACATCTTGAGCACAAATTCTGCAATAACAACTATGCTAATCTAATTAGCTAGTCCTGTAAAAGATGTGACTGTGAGCAGAGAATAAATTAAAGCTTTGTTTTCACCTCTTCGATTTCCTTTCTCAATGTCATCGTCTAGCTACCTCTCAAGCGTAGGGGAGAGGAGTCGAGGCTTGCGAGTTATAACCTTTCTTGAACACTATTTGAAGATACAGCTTAATTTAAAATATTGAATTAATAGTACTTGTTCAAAGTGGGCGGTCTTTGATGATAAATGATCGGTTGCCTTGATCCTGCTTAATTTGCAGGCTGCAAGCAACAGGCTAGCCTTAATTCATAATTACCGGTGTATTTGTGCAAGATTTCTTAATTGGTGGGGCTTATCTTGATTTATCTCGGAATATGTCAAACCTTTAATCAATGAGAACATCTTGTCCAATGGCCTTGTGTTGAGTTTTTTCTTTGCTTCTATGGGAACTTTGAATTCAAATGAGACTGGATAGCTTGATATAATCATTAAAGCTCTTGAATTGTTTTTTATACAAGATATTTTTTTTGGTAGAAATTTCATCTTTGAATCTATTTTATTTATGTGCCAAATTAAACGAACAATCAATCTATATTAGATCATAAAGATTTTATAAACTTCTTTATTTTGACATCTCATTTCTCACCACAGTTTGATTTTTTATCTTTCTGTTATGTTTTGTGTAAAGTTAATTATATGGCTGATAATTAACTTCACAAAATAATATAAAAGTTCGTGGCTTGGATCTAAGAACTTCGCAGGCAAACAAATTCCCATTAACCAAGCGGTCCTGTGCTTGGAAATCTTGAATTAATATTAATAAATAACTGGTCTTATGGCTAATGTAATGAATAGTAAGCTGCTTCGAGTCTATGGGTATTAAGTTGGGTCTTTAATGGTGGCCACGAAAGGCCAAACTGCGAATGGAGCTTCTTCAATATCATTCTTTCTTATTCTTTAAGGGAAAATTTGGATAAGTTTGTATTTATATCAAACGTTTCTGCCATTGGAACAAGAATATTAAAAACTTTGTAAGATGCTACAATTATTGAATTTGGACTCCAATACAAAAGGTTGGCTAAATTAGTATTCCCTTTGCAAGAGTGCCCTTTGTAAAACCTAACCAAATAACTCGAAAGAAGAAATCGTTTCCTCCTTAGTACATTTGACTTTGTAAGATGTGATAGCAATATTGGATGGTTGTGTCGTAGCTTATCTCCCCGTTGCTAGTTTCTAACTCGATATTATGATACGCCAAGAGTTGGGAAACTGCTCCCACTTGGTGATAATTATGGGTACGTGGTGATGATGGTATCAGGACTGAGAAAGCTGTGTGGGGTTTGTATTTATAAAAATAGATACAGAATAATAGAAATTAATTTAATTGATCAGATTTTAAATTTATTTTTTAATAATTATGAATTTGAATTCTCTTAAAATTATTAAAAATTTATATAATCATTAACATTAAAACTTAGAAGCTAAGTTTTAATTTATAAGATTAATTGATATATTTATAAGTTAGGTTGAATAAGATAATTTAAAATAATAAAAAAAAGATACACATTGAACACCATTTGAGTAGAAGGTGGACGACGGATCGATGGCAATAATTAAATAATCGTGGAAAGTAATTAACAGTCCCTTAATTTGAATTCAGTAGTCATCGATTCGTTAAATTAATTAGGTTATCTACCCTAATTGAATTGCGTTTTAATTTGCTATTAAGAATCTGTAATGGGGACACGATAATCAATTCATTAGTTAGATAAGGGTATGTTTTAATGCTCTCCCACTTGTGTGCTTCGATTGATCAGAATTAAGCAATTTCCTAAGAATTAATAAGCTTCCACCCGCCACCAAATGCCCCAATCTGGCAACTGGAGCAGAATTCTTATCTTCATACGCCTGCATGCACACACGCATGTACATATGAATATGATGATATGAACTACCCCCCTTCATCTGCTGTCGAGGTGTCTATATATATTCACATATACATACACACATACATACATATACACACACATATGTATACATATATGTATGAACGGTGTGAAGATGTGGCCCACGTTCAGCTACCAAGATGTTTTTGGAGTAACAGTACTGAGTACGTACGTACTATTATTTAGCATATCCACCAAACCCCAGCCATATTTTTACCTGTAAAAACAAGCCAAAAA